CAATAGATCATGATTTACTGTGTCAAATGCTTTTCGCAGATCAATAAACACTGCACCAGTCAGCATTCCTTGATCAATGTTTCTTCTTATGGTGTCTGCAAATGAGAGAGCAGCAAATTCGGTAGAATGACATTTTCGAAATCCGCATTGGTAGGGACTTAGGATGTTATGCTCATGTAGATACAGATAAAGCTGCTGATGAACAGCCCGTTCCAATATTTTGGAAACAGCTGGTAAAATTGAAATTGGACGATAATTGTCCATGTCCACAGTCTTGCCCTTCTTAAATAGGGGAATAACTCTTGCCGCTTTGAAGTCCAAGGGAACACGACCAGTATTTAATGAACAGTTAATTATATCTGCTATTTGCAATGTTTATTTTGTTGTTGTTTTGCAGGTTTTTTTGTTTATTTTGTTCATTCCGACGGTATTTGACCCTGAATGCAAGATATCTAAATGCACTGGGGTGTATTATCCAAACATTTTTTATGATAGCGTAATATTTAACACAATGTCAACAAAGGGAAGTGATGCATTACTAGGGCTCTATACTGCTGATGAAGTCTGCTAACTTCATTCGATGATAAATAGGGCACTTCATCACTTCTCTCGTGATCATGGGCTCAAGTACCATGACGTTTTGAATGCAAACTACTAGTCTTCACATCATTTTCGCTAGAAAACTAATTTGTGCGAATAAATTGATAGCATACCTTCTTCATGATTGCTTATCCCAATGGCGGCGTACGTAATKAGKACAACAAGACCAACCAGCAWCCCAATGCCTCCTATCACCATATAAATAGTAAACATCTCGGGTTTAATCTTTCTTTCAACATCTCGTCGAACAGAGAACACGATGCGAAGGAATAWTAAGGCGCAAACCACCGARAAAGCTGACCAMACTGCCGCATGATAGTTACSATACTGATGAGCAAACACACCACAGCCTGATATTCCTGCTATCACACCGCCTATYGCAGCTATCACCTTACAAACCTCATGRTATTTCTTATAAGCCTTTTTGGCTTTTTCCAGCCGTGTCTTTGAAGGCATATGTGGAGATTTTAAGGGTTTTTYYTCGCTGCAAAGTCAGTAACGCCGCCGAATCGAGATAWSWRACATCGCGTGACGTTACTGACGGGGCGAAGTGTTTTTGTGTTTGACGTGTAAATAGAGCCAATGATTTAGCGTCGTGCCAGATGGTCGGTCACGAATGTCAAAATACAAGTAATAGCTCAAGGAMTTACTTCGGATAGTAAGATATATACAATTCCATGTGGGATAGGCCTTGAAATAATATACGATTATGCGGTATAACTACTATAGTCAATCTTACGCCTAAAATTTCTGACTACTTTTATAAATAACATCTTGAAAGCATTATATTAGTGAAGTTTGAGAAAAACGTAAAAAAGATTAAAAAGATCGTTTCGTATCTCTCATCTCTTCGTCGTAGTAGTTAGAATTTCTGTCACCACAGAAAAAACACGAAAACCGATAGCCAGAGAMAAGATAAACTAACTTGGATTAATTATTTTATATCCGTAGAGTGAGTCGACGACGAGTGATAATCCCGATGAACCCCTTAAATTGAAACGAGATGCTCTAMTGAACTCTGAGTCACGGACGAGGTACGATAGCACAGGYTCYGAGTTGACCGTGACGGTGAGTCACGCAAGAACCGGTAGTAACGTCAGTAGCGTCAGTGCTGGGAGTGTAGGATACCACGACAGAGAGGCTAGTTTTGATAGTAGTATGGAGTCAGACGACCCTCCGGGTTATTCGTCAAATTCCCCAGACACCAAGGTCACCCCTAATACCATCAACCCACCACCCAAGCGRCTCCTGGCGAGAAAATATCAGTCGGAAGATAAAGACAAACTTAAACCACAAGATGGTGGACACCCCATTCTCATGAGACAAAGAAGTATAAGTTTGACTGAAAAGCAACGAACCAAGTCACCAACGCTTGCTCTTATTGCAGAGAATCGGAGCTCTAGTTTCCATGGAAGCACAGAGTTCAGTAAAATCACATCCACAAAGCGTTCAACTGGGGAGATACCAGTTTCACGCAACTCATCCAACGTAGACGACGACATAGACCTTCTAAGCAGCTATACGAGCACTACAAGCCTTACCGAGGTGAAAATCCTTAGCGATAAAACTATTGTTTTCCATAGTAGCGTCGAGAAAGACAGGGCGCAAAGYTTTGACAGTTCACACAYTAGTGACCTRCGAAGAGATCGCCTCCTCGTGTCGGGGTCACAGCTCAGCGACTCGGACGCCGAGATCGGCGCGTTCAAACCCCGAAGCAGAACGAGCTCCTACGAGAAAGCCGAGCTTGCGCGACGACTGGGCTTGAAAAGTGGKGATATATCACAGCGGGCGTTYAACCGTTCCCGTAGCACCAGTAGCGGGTATGGTCCAGATGGGTTTCGAAAGAAAATTGTAAATAATAACAGTCTGTTAGGAAACACGAATTATGTGACTATATCTGGCGACTCCAATAAACACGCTCGTTCYAGTTCTGATCTTGGGGCTTATACTACAATGAGGGACGCTTCGGGATATGTTGCTTTGAGTACATTGAGAAGACAACATAGTTTGAGCAGAGAAGCCTTGGTCAACGCTGACAGACCTTATTTCACCGCGGCGTAAGTAATTTGTAATTTATAATTAGTATACTTGATTGATGTTTTCACGAATGTTGTTTATCTTTGCACCGTTTATGCAAAAGCAGCGAGAATTTGGTCAGCTTTCTTTTAGCCTGAGTATTATGCTTTCACGAAGGGGATTGTGGGCTGTGACACTCCGCCCCAATCCCTTTTAAAGACACGTTTACACTTGCGATTTTTGAAGCGCGATTGTCGCGCGACAAACGACTGAGTTTCGAACACGCTTGAAATTTAGCTGTAATTTGCGGCGATTTTTGATCGCCGCGACAATCGTAGTGCTGTTTACACGTACAATTTTAGTTGCGCGAGAACAAAGTGGCGATTGTCGCGCGACAATCGCGCTGCAAAAATCGCAAGTGTAAATGGGCCTTAAGAGAGGCTGATACTTGGGCTAGCTTTCTTCAACAGAGTTTGACCAACACCTCTCGCTGCTGTTGAAGAACATCTGTATTGAGATTGACTTTATTTATGTATCTTCGTAGACCTGCATCAACTGATACTACAAGCACCAGAGAAAGCTTAAGTAGTTCGTCGGGTAGCTATGAATATCGACAGCTTACCAGTTCTATGTCTTCTTCTTCAACTGGTACCGAGTTTGTTGGCCTATGTCTGCCTCTGAACTTAAGCTTGCTCTTTCAGGTTGGTTTTTGTTTATTTTTGATGGAATTGATTCTGTAACCTAAGTATCAGCCCTTCTGTTGTTGTTTTGATTCCAACAGGTTGAGCCTTACGTCTTTGAAGGTTCGTGGCCAGATAACTTCGTTTCGGATCCAATAACACCCGGAACGGTCTCTAACGTAGAAGGCATTAATGAACTCCCCGAGGATCAYGACCCTTCYCGCTGTCTCGGCTGCATGTACTCAAAACGAACCAAATCCATGAACGARAGGAGAAAATCTATTGACTCGTTCAGTGATGCAGAAAAGATATCTTACCAAAGCGAAACCACCGAAGAYTCGCAGAGYAGTGTCTCGCCAAGTTCAGTAAGCAGCGCGTCGGATTCAGTCCGAGACGATCAAGAACCTCGTAAAGCCCTCGACGGATCATCGCCGGGTGGTCGGGTACAGATTCGTAAAGAGATTTTAAGACTAGTGGTCAAGTTGAGCAGCGCTGTTGGTTCAAAGTCGCACCAAGAAGGGCTTTCACAGTAAGTTAAAAGCTTCTTCTGTTGAACTTATTAAAACCAAAATATAGTATACTTATGATTTACATAAGAAAGTAAATGAAATGATATCGAAATTTTGACGTTATTCTGTCCCAGGGTATTAAAACAGCTAAAAATAGTTCACTATGACGTCATTATATGTAGTCAACTTAACTATGATCTGACGTCATATTATGATGCCGTAGTGAACTTTAATGTGATATCGTATTATGACGTCGTACTGAACTATGTTGTGAGGTGATGTTATGATGTTAATGATGTTATGACGTCATACTGGACTATGATCTGAAGTCATTATGATGCCATACTGATCGTTAATATGACGTCGTATTATGACGTCATACTGAAGTTTTTTATGACGTCATGTTATGATGTCACACTGAACTACGATGTGACGCCATAGTCATGCACTATGAAACTATATAATATATAATAGTGAAGCTAAGGCAATTTGAAATAAGTGGTCGGCACAAAAAGCGCTTTACTCTAAACGCTTTTGATGTTTCAGACTCAAAGGTCGCTTTCCAGACATTTTCCAAGATGTATGTTTGTTCTGTGAGGTYGTGGATTTGATGAGCGTCTATCAGTTCCGGCTTGCTACACGAAGATTTTTGCTAAATGTCATCTTTAACGAAGTGGCTTTTACCGAGGTAGGTTCATGATTTCTTTCTCATCAGAAAAGACCTTTACTTTATGGTGTTTCTGTGCAATTGTGTCGTTAATAATGTACATTTATGTGTYTAGATCATTGAAAGAGCCGATGCAATCATCAATGGTTCAATAATGAACAGTACAACTACTCTNAGTGTCTCGCCAAGTTCAGTAAGCAGCGCGTCGGATTCAGTCCGAGACGATCAAGAACCTCGTAAAGCCCTCGACGGATCATCGCCGGGTGGTCGGGTACAGATTCGTAAAGAGATTTTAAGACTAGTGGTCAAGTTGAGCAGCGCTGTTGGTTCAAAGTCGCACCAAGAAGGTCTTTCACAGTAAGTTAACAGCTTTTTCAGTAGAACTTCTTAGTAAAAAGCGCTTTAATCAAAACATTTTTGATGTTTCAGACTCAAAGGTCGTTTTCCAGACATTTTCCAAGATGTATGTTTGTTCTGTGAGGTCGTGGATTTGATGAGCGTCTATCAGTTCCGGCTTGCTACACGAAGATTTTTGCTAAATGTCATCTTTAACGAAGTGGCTTTTACCGAGGTAGGTTTTCAGAATTTCTTGGCGGATTTTTTTCTCTTGAGTGCCTCGCATACGACGCTAAAAAACGCATTAATTTTAATTCAGTGAATTATCATTTCGATGTTCCTTTCCGCTTTTAAAAGACGCCGAGGTGCATTATGGGATTGATGTCACGCACTGTGGGATTGACAAAAGTGGTGTTGTGTTTCGAGCTCTTTTGCTAACAACAAACATTACTTGTTTCCATAAGACGTCGTATCTAGTGATCATCTACACCTTTCTGGACAAAGTACAACGTTAATTTCGAGAATAATCTTTTCCCATCTTGATATCAATACCACGATGCACTAAAAAATTATTACGTCATCAATACCATGATGCACCGAAAAATAATGACGTCATCAGAACCATGATGCACTTTGCCCAGAAATGACATCATCAGTTGAGACCTTTACTTAAATGCTGTTTCTGTGCCAGTGTATCGTTAATAATGTACATTTATGTGTTTAGATCATTGAAAGAGCCGATGCAATCATCAATGGTTCAATAATGAACAGTACAACTACTCTCACAGATATGAAGGATTGATGTAACAAAGGAAAATCTCGTATTACTTCCAGTCAGAACCATTAGAAATGATAATACAGCGACGACATCTTGTGCAACAAAACATGATGGGAGATGTAGTCCTCGAATTTTGACCGCCAAAAATATCTACCTTAGAGAAACAGCAAGATGTCATGCATCTTATCAGGGAAAACACGGAAATGTATTTTGAGCCAAGAGTACCGTCATGCTTTGCTCGCGAAAATGGCGTCGCTGCACATTGGCTATTAGGAAGACGGATTAATCAACCAAATATGGTTTCGAAATATTTGATAGCTCTTTAATAATGTTGATTGAGCCGCCATTTTGGATTGTGGAATCGTAAGGCCAAAAGCCACAACCGCGCTATATGAATTTACTGTGTAGTGTAGGAATTCTTGATTTCATACTTCTAATTTATGAAATACTGCATCCAAGCATCCAACATTCAGATGTCTTTCATATGTTGAATCATAAAATCTTCAGCGCACTTTGGACATACTAGAATTTCTTGTAGAAGATGGCAATTCAAGATGGCGGACTTGTCTCTTGTAATTTGAGATCATTAGGGAAGAACATATTTTTTTGCAAAATTTATGTGCATGGCAATGCGACACGGCGACATATCGGTTCGTGTGCTACCAAAATATGGCACTCTGTGTTGCTGCTTTGACAGCACATACGAATTCAAACAGTTTTGATAAGTGGAGGATATCATGGGGGCAAAAACTGAATCTATCGATATTAATTTTGCGGTTGAGTAATATTTTACKTGGTGTCACAGAAGCTTAATCTAGAGGAATATGTAAGTCCTTTAATGTCAAATCGAAAAAGAATGTATTACGATTCCAGTATGAACTTGAAAGTCATGTAAACTTGGGCGTCTCTCCAAACCTGTAAATAAATTATCAATATATGATTATGGCAAAATTAAAAAATATGTCTAGAGTTTCAAATGAAAATAAAAAACAAATGCCCTGCTAAATGGTAACTCTATGAATTTAGATTAGGTTTAGTCTCACTGTGAATTTTGTTTTCTGACGCTGTCAAAGCCAGTTGGTGAAATATCAAACAGGAACACAAATGGTGTTTTCAGAACACAAAAACAACTTGTGTTCTTTTTGTCCCAGTCCCCGATCTTTTTCTGGACGCAAAACAGTCGATTTTTATTACATTTTTAATCTTACTTTATTATTTTGAGAATACTTAAAAATGTGTCGCTTTGAGTTTCTTTTTTTCTCAGTATTAGCAATTTTACTTGAAATTTCAAGATTTTTAAGCAATAATTTACACAAAATTGTTTCYGAATATTTCGACTTTGGACTGTTCCCTATCAGATATCAACAGTTAATTAAGAAAAACAGTTATAGACAGTGAGATTGTTATAGCGTTATGCCAGTGTGTGGTGCGTTGTTTTTTTTACAATGATGAAGTCCTGCCCAAAAAAAAACAAGAATTTCCCACTAAAGACACAGAACTTGCGTTTCGGGTGTTATGACCTTCTTTGTCCCCCTGACGAGGAACTGAAGTACGTCAAAAACTTCAGCAAAGTGTTTTCATTCTYTTAGCTTTTACGGCTTACAATCTTGTCTTGTTTWAATACGACAGTTTTAAGTGGAAAAAACAACATAGTYCGTTGCACAATTTYGTATATGTGAAGCAATTTCTATGGGTAGGTATAAAAGAATCAATTTTATGTTCTGATTCTTATAAATGGCATGCGTAAAGACGCAGCAAATTTGTTCTTCATGCACTAAACTCAAAAACGCGAATTAGCGGATTTCTATTTTTACACGAGCTTTCCACGAMTTAACGTACATCTGTTTCTTCACGAAATTTTTCACTGTAACAGCCATACAAGAAACTTTGCAGTATAACTCGAGTATACGAACTAGCAAGGTCACGCACGCTTCAATTCCATATGGCAACATGACATTGATCRACTTACCAATGYCGAATRATAATTATTTTGCSTCGCGGTGGTCACCGGGTGTGCATTTTCAYGAAGTTTAATTTTCCAACTCAATTAACAGCGAAGGACGTTGTCTTGGCTTGCGTGAGTAAAACAACGCGTAAATACTGGGAGAAATGACAATTTTCTCGAAAGGTATGTTTGATCTAGTTTGAAATTCTGTTTTGTTAATCCACTAAAAGGGATTTTATGATCGGAAATTGTTTGAAATAACATCATGCATACTCTGGCGCTGTTTTGTCTGACTTACAAAATAATTTCTAATGACGAATCTAAAAGCCGTTGATTACCAAAATTGTGGTAATGACAAAGAATTGTCAATTGAATATTTCAGTATCTCCGCCATATTGGATGAATGTACAACTACCAGCGATGAACCCTGGGTTCTCTCATCAGCCGTGGACATGCATTTCGGTCTTTCTATAATATGTTTCAGTAATTTTTAAATTTTTGGTTATTTTTATTTTTTTTTTTCTTGTCAGCCTTTTTAAGTGACTACTGATTTCGTCAAGAACTATACTATATACTCAAAACTAAYTACAATTTCAATGGGAAGAGAAAAAAATAATTTGAACGCGAATTATCATTTTGACTTTATAAAGTGAATTAATACACTATAGGGTACTACACTTTATCAATTATTCTTTATTTTGAACGTTTGTCTTTATTTGTTCTTTGTATAATACGTTASTATACTTTGCTTATTACTCAAAAAYACTTTGTTTCTCGGGTTTACCACCCTAAATGGCTATTAGTAGACAGAAATTCATTTAAAATGTTGATTGTTAATCAGTGATGACTATAATGAACCCTTAAAGA